ACCAATTGCACAGTCGGACCCCTAGAGACCCACTCGCCTGCTGGGCCCGACCACCTGTTCTGTACTGTGAGAAGCTTCCTGCTCACCACTGGTGCTTAACCCCCCAAAAAAAAACTTTCAGCCTCAATGCTGTTTTCTGTAAAATGCATTTAATATCATTAGAACTGTAAGGTTTTCCTATGTTACTTTTACAGATGGATAACACTGTATTGCACCACTTCGTAAGCCAGCTGTCATTTTACGGTGTCGCCGTCATGACGTCTGTACAAAGGCCAAACCAAAATAAAGCTTTCTCAAGCTGAAGGTTACTGGAAATGTTTATACTAGGTCTTATTTCACAGAGGAAGCTTTTTTATCTTGACACCAGAATCTAGCCCAAATCACACTTTTGTAGCCACTGTGTAAGAGAGGATAAAAAACTGTTGAACTGCACACAACATGCGTGTTTTAACACGTGTGCCACTAAATCTTTCAGCATTTATTTTTCCTCAGTGAACGCAGGCTGACAGCAGCCGAGTTATCACCATCTGGGCAGATGCTCTTAAACTCTGGAAAATGTAGACCCAGATCACCTGTGTACAGATCATAATATCCTTTGAGGTGCAAAGGTGAAAGTCGCTCGATACCTCAACTGTTGCAAGGGAGACTAACCCCAGCTAATCAATCGCTTATTTTGCATAATAATATGTCTGGGACAAGACTGATAGTTTCTATGGCTACAATCACCTGGCTAAGGACAGGAATTTTAAATGCAATTAAGTGAACACTGTGAAAACAGGGCTTGAAAGCAATAGCTTCCCTAAGCCAAAATGAAATTTAAGTTAAAAAACACAGATTTTGAAAATTGACAACATGTATCCACAAAGTATATCCATCCAAAATGTAATCAAAATCAGAAAAAAAAAATCTGCATTTGAATAAGTGCAAACAGAATTGATTTAACTCCAGATCGGTTCTCAGTCAGGATCAGTTTATTTTACCCTCACTGCCTGTACTTCCTAATGACCACTCTTCCAACTCAATTATACCTTCTAATGAAATTAATCATTTTAAAAGGCCTTTGACGCAGTTATTACAGTAAAAACTGAAAATGCCATATACAAGACTGACTTGGAAACTATGAACGACATCTGTATGAACAGCACTGCATCCAATTAATGTGTTAGCCAGACAAATCTTACTTTGATTTCTGAACCACATTAAGAAAATAATTTGTCTACACTGTTTTATACACTAAACCAGGTTATGTGGTTTGATAAATGATGAAATGGAAGAGTGCCCTTTGTTTCACAAGCAAACAACATAACGACAAAGGACAATTAACCCAGCTCAATCTTGATCTAGAGTGCACTCTTCCAAAAAGCACGAAAGAAAAAAACAAATTTCACTTATCTGACTTGCGATGGACAGAA